GAACTGGGGTACAGGCCAGAGGTGCAGGGGCAGTGAGAGGATTCACCAGAGACAGAGTGGGGAGCAGAACAGGCAGATGGATGAAGTACACTGCTGAAGGGAGCAGCAAGCAGTCAGGAGATATCAGCTGATCACCTCCGGGGTAGGCAGGGATAGAACTCATATGAACTTTAGCTTTTTAGTACTGTGCTTTAACCCACTGCACCACCAGGGAGGGCCCAGAACCATATTTTTAAAGATCTCAGCAATCTGTTCAAGCCAACAGAACTTCAGATAAGTCTCAGTTCTCAGCCTTAAGCCAGCATGGCTATGCCATGATCTTCCCCCCAACCCCACCACTTCTCTCTCACCTATATCACTTAGGAATATATCTTAAGTGATCAAATTATTCATTTTTAGTCCTTTGATTCTATTGTCACTATAAATTCTAATCTCATTCAACACTGACACTGGGTTACACAGTGTAAGTCGTGGACTCTCACATGTCATGAATTATTGAATAGTCACTAGATGCCTCCCAAGTGTGACTGCTGAAAAGGGAGAGAGGAAATGTGTACATAAGGTTTCCACAACCAAGTGTGCTGCACATTCCTTCAGTTTACATAACGTGCCTTTATATAGACTCCTGTGATAGGTTTACCACACATAGAACAAGTAGTAAAAGAACCGTCCGTCGACTGTGATCTAAAATAAAATTCACAGAATATTGTTAAATTATAAAACTGGGAAATTTTCAGGACTGTCCTTTCAACCTAAGTTTTCTTGGCCTGGGGAAAAGGTGAGATCAAAGAAACTGGTCTATTTCTCTCTGCTCTGCATAAGCTGTGTAAAGACTAGAAGTTTTATTCCTAGCGTCTCTGGAATATACACACACATATACACACACATAAAAAATATGCACATAGGCAGAACTCTGCCCATCTGTGACTGTGCAGGTGTCCTTTCACCCCACTCTCTCCCTCAGCAGGGCAGCAGCCTCCTGCCTGCCTGAGACCTGCACCTGCCGGGGGTTTTTCTGTGCTGACCTCCCTCAGCAGAGGCCGCTCTCCTAAGGCGCCTGCCTGCAACCTTGCAGACCTCTCTCAGCAAAACTGTCCCTTTCAGGGAAGCTTTTCCTGTCCACTTGCGTCTATGCAAGTGCCCTTCTCTTTTCTGCCCCCTTTTTAACAAACCTGCTCCTTAAATATATCTGGCATGTCTGTGTTGTGGAGAATCTCGCCTCATGCCACTGAAAGGGGAGCTCTGGAGAAATCTTTCCCAGAGTAAGTCCAAGGACCCCGCACTCAACCTACAACCTCATCATCATCATCACTGTACTTCAAAACTATTTCTCCAACTCCAAAAATATTTGGTCAGCATGAAGTTTCTCTAGCAGAATAAATATCAAAAGGAAGCCTGCAGCGCTGGACCCTCTGGTGGGCGACTGGGCACGTGACAGGCACCCACAGAGTTAGTTCTCATTTGTCTGACACTGGCAGACACCAGCCCCAAAGCCCCGGCATCCCATACCTTTTGTAGATCTTAGGCAGGATCAGGACCACGATGATGACGATGACAAGCACCATGATAGTGGTGACGATGGCTCGAACAGACCAGCCGGAAGCATGAGAGTCAGGGCAAGGGACCCCCACTGCAGCAGAGGACACCCCCACTGGGTGCAGGGGAGGGGGGAGAGAAAAAAAAAAGAAAAAAAATACACACATAACAGAGACAGGCACTCTTATATATATATATATACACACACATACACACACATTTCCCCACTTTTTTTCTCCAATTGTATCATTATAATCACCAGAATAACAAGTGGCAAAGGGATAAAATCACCCAGTCCACAGCCATAGAGATGGAATTGAAAGAAGTTAATTTCTAACTCAGAAGAAAAATCCACCACTGGGAAAAAAAGAATGACAAACTTTTGACATCACAGTAAAACATAATAGTATGCAGATATCATGACTGTATTGTCATTCTTACAATTTAATGTATAAAAATGTAGTCTTGAGCCCTCCCTGGTTGCACAGTGGGTTGAAGCACAGCACTGAGAGGCTAAAACTTACACTTCAGCATGAGTTCGATCCCCACCCTGAAATGAGCCACAGGGCACAGCAGACCTCTCCTGACCCGCCCGCTGCTCCACTCATCAGTGTACTTCATCCAGCTGCCTGTTCTGCTCCCCACTCTGTCTCTGGTGAATCCTCTCACTGCCCCTGCACCTCTGGCCTGTACCCCAGTTCTGTATGCATAAATAAATAAATCTTTATAAAAAATTGTAGTCTTAGCACTTTAGTTGAGGATGTCAAGGAGAAATTCAGATGACTAGGATTTGTAGGTATCCCAAAAATTCACGAGAGTAACAGACCTCATCTGAGAGAAGAAAATGAAAAAGAAAGAAGAGCAATAAAATGATAGATCTTGGTTGGTCTTCACATTTATTTCCCAAATTTGAGAGGAACACATGGTAATCACTAACCTGAGGAAAGAAAAGTTGTCATTTTCTCTTCACCAATGAGAGGGTTGCTAATGGAGCAGGTCATATTGACAACAGACCTGTCTTTAAGGACCAGGCGTGTCTCCACCTGAAACAGCCCATGGCTGTCTTGAGTCAGGACCTCTGAAGACAAATGCACAGTCTCCCCTTTCTGGTCCCTCCACTGCACATGAGGCTGTGGGAACCATCCTTCTGAAGTACACACCAGCTGTGATCCTCCTTCCTCCAGTCCCTCCATGGTAATCCGTGGGGATGAACCCACAGCTGGGGAACAAGATCAAGGAATGAAACTAGGATCTCTGGAAATGGTCATTTAGTCAGTGACTTCACTGGGAAGAAAGAGGGGGATTCAGAGACTTGGGGAAGAAAGCAAAGCTAATGGAGGAATTACAATCCACTGAAGGATGAGACTAATTGGAGGATTTTCTTGTTTTGTTTGCTTAATATTTTATTTTTATTTTTTTGTGTTCCCAAAAATCACACTATGGGGTATAAAATCATTTTCAAATCCAGTGTGTTTCTTCTACACCTGAAAGCAAAATGAGTTTGACCAGGTCATCTTGGCCAGGATGAAACGAATGAGATAGTAGTCTCAAAGATCAAAATCTTGTAAATATGGTTGTCCAGTGGTGAAAAAAAAAAATGAAGTCCATTAACTTCTTAACATATTCTCCAGTAGGTATTTGTTAAATATGTTTATTAACATGGACAATAAATTGGAGAAAAAAGTAAATTATCTAAGATTTTGGTGTTTTTCTCAAAGGTACTTCCTAACCTTGAAAATCACCTGAAACTTACAAATAAAGACAGTGAGTTATGATGATCCAGGGGGCAACTTCGCTCTCCATCCTGTGAATAAGACATATCTATGATTTTTTATTTTACTGTGACTCAAGTTCAAGTCATTATACTTCCTAGTAATTTCACATTTCCAAAAAAAATTAATAGTACTAAAATAGTAAGTCGTATATAAAGCTGTGGAGTCAAAATTCTCAGATTTCACTAAATATCTGGTTACTTTATGGAGATCCTGGGAAGGATATAAATTCTATACTCCCAAAATTAAATCTAGTCTATTTGAGTTTGTGGACTCTAAGTATCCATGGAAATTGTGGCATGTTGGAGGGTGCAATTTAAATTGGATGGGAAAATGAATATTTAGAAAAGTTCAGATTCCATGGGCCTCCCTGGTTGTGCAGGGTTTAAAGTCTCAGTGCTATCAAGTTATCACTAGCCACTGCAGTATCAGTCTGATCCCCAGCCAGGGAGTTGACCTACATGATACAGCGGACCTCTCTTGCTCCCTCCCCCAACCCTATTGCTCCCCTCAGCAGTGTATTTCAATAGATCAGTTCTTTAAATCCACTCAGTAGATGCCCTCTTTGTCTCTGGTGAATCCTCTCACCCCCACACCTCTGGTCTACAACCCAGTTCTTGAGTGCATAAATAAAAATAAATAAATAATTTTAAAAAGAAAATTTTATATTCCAAGGAAATATTCTGGGAACTAGCAAGTGAAACAAGAACTCAGAAATGCCTACAACTATATGGACAGTTATTATATAACAAATGAGCCAAGAACATACACTGGAACAAGAAAATCATCTTCAACAAATGATGTTGGGGGAAACAGAAAATCATATGCAAAAGAATGAAACCAGCTTATGTCATACACAAAAATTAATTCAAAATGGATGAAAGACTAGGATATAAGAACTGAAATCATAACATACATAGAAGAAAACATAGGCAAAACTATTCATGATGTAAGTACTGAACAAAAACAGACATACAAACCAATGAAATTAAACTGAATATCCACAAATAAAATCACATATACATGGTCAACTAAACTATGATAATGGAGCAAAAATATACACTGAAACAAGGAAAGTTTCATCAGTAAATACAAGAGAATAGAACTAAATTATTACCTAGAACCATACACAAAAATCAACTCAAAATGGATAAAAGATTTATACCTAGTCCTAAACCATTAAATATATAGAAGAAAACATAGGCAAAACACTCCATGACATAAATCTCTGAAACATCTTTAAGGACTCATCTCCAAAAGACAGTAAAACAAAGGAGAAGAAAAACAGCCAGGACTACATCAAATTCAAAATCTTCTGTACAGCAAAAGAGACAGCAACCAAAACAAAGAGACATCCTACATATTGGTAGAAAACTTTGCACACCATACATCTTATAAGGAACTGATATCAAAGATCTACAAGGAGCTTACACAATCAACAACAAAAAAAAAAAAAAACAAGCAAACAACCCAAAAAATGGGCAGAAGAGCTAAAAAGGTATTTCTCCAGAGAACAAGTGTGAAGGACCAAAGGCATATGAAAAAAAGCTCAATATCACTTATAATCAAAGATATGCAAACCATAACCACAATGAGATGCCACCTCACACCTGTGAGAATGATGCATATCAATAAATAATAAATAAAGCAAGCAAGCAAGCAAGAAACAACAAATGTTAGCAAGGATATGGTGAAGAAGGAATCTTCTTACACTGCTGGCAGCAATGGCCGCTAGTCCAGCTACTATGGAAAGCTGTGTGGAGGTTCCTTACAACACATGTGACCCAGTAATTGACTCCTAGGTATCTACCCAAATAACAAAAACACTAATTCAAAAGGAAACCTGTTTATAGGAGACTATTTACAATAGCCAGATACAGAAACAACAAAAATGCCCAAAAACATGTGAGTGGATGAAAAATGTATAGAGTGGATGGAATACTACTAAGTAATCCAAAAATATGAAATACATGCATTTGCTGCAAACAGGAAGGAGCTTGCAGGGACTGTGGTAAGTAAAATTTGAAGGAAAAAAAATAATTACAAATACCAGATGATGTTGATGTCACTTAAATGTGGAATACAGAGAAACCAGACACAGGCTCAGATAAAGCCAACACAAAAACTAACTCTTGCAAGTTGACTGTAGAACTGAGGCATTCAGAGGGGTAGGGGGAAGGAGGGGTAAACACACTATGGGTGAGCACAATGGACTGTGTTGGTGAACTAGTGGGGTTTGGTGGTGGGCGTGCCAGCGATGACAACATCGCTGGAGGTGGGAACCTATACTTCCAAAATATAAACAATGGTGTAAAGTAGCATTAAATCAATAAAAATACTTTCAAAATAGTAATCACAATGCAAGTAGTCATCAAAGAAAAAATATAAATAAATAAAACAATGAGAACAAATATAGAATTCAAGGCATCTATCCAGAAACTTTACCTATTATCTTCACATCCAAACTGGCCTCCTGGTAGACACCATCTTTTTCAAAGAGGCACCGGTACCACCCGTCATCTGAAGTTCTGGCTTCCTGTATCTGCAGGGTCACTGTCCCCTCATCGAGGGCTTTGGTCACCAAGGCAGTCCGTCCTCTGTATTCTGCCATCTGCTCTCCAGCCACATAGTCCCCGTCCATGTACACATACACAGCAGGGTAACGGTGGGATCGGACCCACCTCACCTCCATGCTCTGGGCATTTGCCCTGGGGGTCAGGGAACAGTTTAGCTGTATGTCTTCTCCCACTCTGACCAGGATGGGCTCTGAAGGTCCAGTCACTTTTAAGGAAGCTGTTAAATATACAGGTAAAATCCAATGAAAATATCAAAATAGAGCAAATAGTTCCATCAGTAGAACATCTGCGGTAGAGTTTAGACATGAGGAAGCAGCCCAGGGGAGCAGTAAGACTAACAGTCACCCTTTGTAGAATTTTGTAGAAGGGGAGGTTTGGGTGGGATGATGGTAGAAGTTGTCCCTGAATAAAGGTATGATCCCATGTTGTATGATGGCTTAAAAAATAATTCACAGCTGGTCCTACCTTTAGTTTTATTCAGTTTATACCCCAATAAGAAAATAATTTTGCCATTAAAACTCCCAGAATGAATTTACCACTTTATCACTTCAAATCTGCATGAGCTTAAACTACTTAATCTGTTCATGTCTCCTGCTCACAAAGTATAACCACAACTATCACTCAAAAATCATAAGGTTGTCTGGAGTTACACACAAACTATACAAAGAGCTTGGACAACCAAGTGGTATAAGTGAGTCACATAACCCTTTCACACAGACAGTGACCACACTTATTGGCTTACTTTATTTTTGAGTTTTTGATGTGTGATATTGAAATATCTTCCAAATTTTTCATTGAGAAATTAAACCTTTTCTGAGTATGAAGTACAAGGAATTCAACAGTAATTCCCTGAAATCTAATACTCTTCCCATCATATCATATAATCCTCTTTCAATCAGTGTGGACTCTCACTTCCTATAGTTTATTCTATTATGTCATATCACATCATGTATTATCATATCTAGACTCTGATTCTGACAACATAGTAAAGATACCACACATTCACTTTAAAGATGAGAAAAATAGAAACCAATGATCCTATAAGCTCACATATAATTTATTATAAACTTGGACTTAAGTCTGACACTAATTGGAAGGCAAATATCACCCTGTCTTAGTGGCTTCATCAAACCACATGTCTCTAAGGATTGTTTCCCAACTGTGAAATGAAAATAAATCTATTAACCATTATAATTATTGAAACAAAAAAAATACCTGTAAGGCAGTTGGCAGGTACATTTAATATGTGTTTTTTAAAAAGTCACTATCTTTATAAACCACTGACATAATTTGCCAGGGTAGGAGCTGGGATGTCGCCTGCTGGGGTTGTGATCAGCTCTTTGCAGTGAGTCTCACCCTTGAGTTCTGTTTCATGAGATTAATACAGAAGCAGCAGAGAAGCTCCCTTTCTCCTTATCACCATCAGCCCTCACAGCTCCAAGGCACAGCGCCCCTCCCCCAACCAACAGGATCCTAAGGAAACTCTGTTGTTTCTTCCAGTTTTACTGAGGTCCCAGGAGGTCAGCTAACCCAGGAATAAGAGGACAGAGGAATGTATTTTCTGTGCTGAGTCCTCAAGGCCTGCCATGTGGGTCAATAACTCTGAGGTGTGACTCTTAACCTAAAATCTTCCTGAGGGACAGAGACATGTTTCAGCTGGCCCCAAACTGGCTTGACTTTCTGATCTGTAACTAACCAGCTCTGGTTAGTGTATCCTTCTGATCAGGAACAGATGCCATCCCAATTCTCTAGAAGTATATACAGAGGGGCAGCCCTCTTCAGACTATGCATGGTGTGCACATTAGTGAACTTTTCCCTTCCTGAGGTGCTTCCCTTTATTATAAGGCTGATGTGATCAAAGGTATCACACTAGACTCTGCCAGAGGGCAGGGTGTGCTTGCCACATTGATTTTCCTCCAAAATTCCTACATAGACTGCAAAGTGTGCTGAAGTTCACTAACGTGCACACCATGCTCATGTCTGCACACACACACAATCCTGTAACAGATGATGTGAGGGACTCAGGGTGCTGATGGAAGCAGCCATACAAGTTCATGCTGGTGGTCTTGGGCTGGGAGAGGAGGTCACAGGAAAAAGGAAGCTGATAAAAAGTTCAAAGAGAAACTGACAGACTCAAACATCACCTGGTTACTTTTTAAGCCTCTTTTTTTAAGGTTATCTTAATTGCACTAATATATTACAAGCACTCCAACTGTTAAGTTAAAAAAAAAAAATGGCCCATGTCCAGGTTCCAAACTGCTCCATGAGGCCACAGCTGCTTCCCAGCCTGAGTGAGTGAGATGCAGGTGGGACATCACAGTGAAAACAGGGCATGGGTGAGGATTCCCGGTCATCATGGCTGCACTGCCCTCACCTGGAACTGCTTCATAGGGGTATCCAGAGTCGGGCAGCTGGCCCGTGCCATCCTATGTCCTCCAAAGGCAGGCCTGTCCCTCCCTCCACAAAGGCAGAGATTATGTCTGTGCCCCGTAGAGGCGCCCACTGAGCTTCATGGGAGCCCTGTGAGTGTGCAAGTTACACTGTGCAAAGGAGCTGTGGAGGCGTGGAGGCCTGGGCTTGGTGGTCCCTGGTACTAAGAGAACGTGATACTTGGGAGGCCACGCCTCAATTTCTCCTCAGTGTCATGAGGGGTGGCTGCTGCTCTGTCCCTGGAGCATCGCCTCCTAGCACTGAGGCTGGTGAGCTGCCGCCGCTACTTACCAAGCTCATTCTGGAGTTTCTCTGAGAAAAGAATGAGAAAAGCTTATTTAGGAATTTGGCTAAAAAGAAAGGAGAGAAAATTTAAAAAAAAAAAAAAGGCAGGTTCTACATGTGATTGGAAAGTTCAATTTATCAAAAAGAAATTAAATGCAGAAAAATAACTAAAGCTTTCCCCTAGGATCAACTAATAAATCATTTCTCTAAACAGCAAAAGTGATCCAGTTCTATCATCCATGGTTCTGTTTCGGCTGATATATAGCATATTGACATTTACCTATCTTATACAAATAATGCATGTTATTTTTATAAATGCATGGAGAGTATAAAATATATGGGCATAGACAATTTTTACCTATAATTCCAAATTGGAAATAAAATACATACACACAAATAAATAAAATTTTACTCCTTTAACCTTCTCATATAATTTTAAATTTATTCATATACCCATTTATATGAATAAAATTATCTACTTTATAGCTAAATATAGAGGGGTCTCAAAATCCAATGCTATTTAAAGGCAATAATCTTTATATGATTAGAAATGTCTGTAAATAATTATAATGATGATAAAAATAGATAGATAATAGGTAGTTATATAGATAGGTAAATACATACATACCTACATAGATGAGAGAAAGAGAAGTGTGGATGGATGGAAAGATATAACCTTAATCCTAATATAAGCATTGATTTTGTTTTAGCCATTAAAATGTCATTTTTTCATCAATGCTATAATTTTTATTAGCATAAGACACTACCACCAATGCTGAATTGATTGGTTTGGTTGTTGTCTTTGTTGCTATTTACCAATAAGACCATAATTAAGATGATATCTAAACAGTGTTTCTGACTATGTTCATATGATATGCTCCTACAAACATTTGGTAGAATATAGTCTAGGAAAATATTACACTAGAAAGAATATAGTTTTAATATTTCTTCTGATGCATGCTTGTCTGCAAAGAAAAGAAAACAAGAAGACAAGGCAGAGCTTGAAAATAAATGAAATACCATTCAACCAATGTGTATGTGTGTATATCATACATACACACACACATTTGATATATACAAATATATACAAATATTTTATGGCCATTAATACATATTACTAAGTATTGGAGATTTTCCTTGATAACAGTATACTAGGTGCTATGGAATGATCCCTGGCACCTGAGCTAATAAACCTGAGGGCCTTGCCTGAGAGGCAGAGCACTGACCTGGGATGGAGATGGCTGAACTCTTCTCCTCTGTGAGGATGTGGTTGTGGATGAAGCACGACACTGTCCCTACAGAAGCAGCATTAACCATAAGAGAGGCTTCCACATAGAACAAGCCATCTTCATCTTGGATGTGATGCTCAGAGAGAGTCAGCAGCCTCTCTCCTGTGACATCCTCCCAATAAACCTGGGGTTCTGGGAACCAGCCTTTTGCAGTGCACACTACCTGGGCTGCACTTCCTGCGGACCCCTCCATGTGGATGTCAGGGGAAGATCCCAGACCTGTGGGAAGACACAGCCCTGAGACCCAGAATCCATAGGCAGAAATCACAGATACCAGATCCCAATTGCACTGTTCACAGGGAGAGGAGAAGAGATCAAGGGACAGGAGAGAAAAGGGTGGCCCAAAGTCTTCTTCCCATTTCAATTGGGGTTCAAATGCACTTTCTGTTCCCCTTTGGATCTGTAAATACTAACATCAAAACAGTACTTGTTTCAAATCCAAGTGAACAATAAAAAGAAAGAAGCTTAATGATATTGTGTGTTTATGCCTTTAGTACTGCAAATAAGATGTGTAATGATTTACTCTTTTAATCCCCCATGAATCCAGCTTTTTCTTCAATATTATCTGTATCAGTCATTCATCTGGCATTTGGGATGATATTGTGACTCTTCCTTAAACAGAAAATTTAATATGAAGTCAGACTTGTTCTTCCCATTTCTTTTGTGGGTGGCTGGGTTGGAGATGCCAAGAGATGACACAAGCTATGCAACTTCTGTCATCTGACAAATTCCAGGCAGAAGGTAAAATCTCTGAAAAATCAGAATTTCCACTGCTAGTTAATGTTATGACCTCCCTTTTTGTATAATCATAATATCAAAAATATACCATCAGCTTATAACTGGATTGTCGTAGCCTCATACGGTGGCTGCCTGGCCCAGGCAAGCAGGCACTAACCCAGGGCATAAAATTCCTGTCTCCTGAGACAAAGGGCAAGCCAGGGAGATATAAGAACCCGAGGGCATAAAGACTTGTGGGAAACTTCACCAGTCTTTTGGGACAAAAAGCAAACCTCATATAAGACTCCCAGGGCATAAGGACTCATGAGCAGTTCCTAACCTTGCATACACACATGTTGCTTAATGCATGACTGTATAACTTCCTCTTAATTTACCTTTTTCTTAAACAATCACTAACTACTCTCTGCTAGTCTTAAATCAATATTTTCCTAAAACAATCACTAACTACTCTCTGCTAACCTTAAGTTAGCCATTAGTTTCTCTTTAGACAATCACTGATGACTCTGCTAACACAATCTATTCCTTCCCTAAGACTCCTATCAATCCTATGCTAACAGCTCATCCTTTACCAGACCCCTTATCCTTTGAGTTATAGTTAAACATCCATATACATGAATGTTACCAGAAATGTGTATAATTTAGTATAACATAAAGTGTCAGGAAGAAGATGCATTGTTTCCCTCTTCCTTGAGAACTTTAAAGGTGAATTCTTATTAACTTAACTTACACATGATTGTAATTAACTACTTGCTACACAGTATAAATAAAGACCTGCTGAGGGAATGGCAGGAAGACTTGCACCCAACACTGACTCCCATGACTTCCTCACGCCTGCTTCCCTTCCCCCTTTTTGGAGTCTCCACATGCAGAAGCCATTTCACACCTCCTAAGATCCTGCCCTGCTGTATGTTCAGGCTGGTCCCCAACAAAGAGATAAACTGGACCTTGTGAAATGGGATATTCTATGAGGAGTATCACATTTAAATATATCATTCACTGGGAAAACTCTTTTTTTTTTTTTTTTCAGAAATCCTAGTTTTACATAGTCATGAAAATCTGTATGAGCACAACTCTCAAATTTAAATGAGAATTTGAATTTTCTAGAGATGGAATCTGTATTTTCTATAGATGGAATTTCTGTCCCTTCCACTTACTGAGGAAAGAGACTCACATATTTTACCTAGAGGCTTCAAAAATGTGTGGCTTATTTCAAACATAGTGAAATGCTGCAAATGCTCCCTGCAAATCTCAGAAATACATGAATTCTTCCATCCATTTTTGAAGCACCTTGAACATACTAGCTGTACATGGCATATCCACTGGGTGTTTTTAAAAAGGTCAGGAAGGGACCTCCCTGGTGGCCTAGGGGTTAAGTCTCAGTGCTACAACCACAAAGCAGCCTGAGTTTAAATCCCTGGGGTGGGAGCTAACCCACATCACCCAACAGACCTCTCCAATCTCACCCACTGTTCCTCTTAGCAGTGTATCTCAATGGATCTGTATGTTCTGCTCCCCATTCTGTACTGCATCCCTTACTTCACCCCCATACCTCTTTCCTGTACCCCAGTTCTTCTACACCGAATACATAAAAATCTTATTATAAAGGAATAATTCTTGTAAAAATAAAAATAGAGCTCGCTCGCTCGCTCTCTCACCCCCCATCTCTAAAAATAAATAAATAAATAAATAAATAAATAATAAAAATAGAATGGTTGCGAAGCAGCCTCCTAAGCAGTAAGCAGGCAGGGGTATCAGCAAGAGATGTTAACCTATCCAGAAAACTTTCTCTGACAAGGTAAGTGGGCTTGCCAGATTTTCAGTTTAGCACATGGAGCATTTATTCCTGCCAGGTAACCACTGGCACTTTTCTTTTCAGATACTGATTCTTTTTAATGTAACACAGATCTTTTCTTCAGTCATCCTCTACTTCCTGACTGCTTCCCACTGTGTAAATATAAATGCTTCTACTCATCTTGCCATCCAAGTTGAATTCACCCAAAACCATCTGAGAGACTCCAACTCATGAACATTAACTATGATCATCTCCAAAAAAAGCACACACTGCTCTTTATCTCTTCAATCCCTTCACTAGTTTTCTCTTGTGTTGCTGTTGTTCTTTTTGTTAAATTACATTTAACAAAATGTGCCATTACTTTAAAACACTGCAAGTGTTTTAACACAGCACACCCACCACCAGGCCCTCATATCCCCTACAATAATACACTAGTTATCTAACTTTACTACACAAAGAAACAGTGTCACGTTTCCTTTACACATCTCAGTTACTACAGGTTTGAGTTTCAAGCAGGGATGATAGGTATTATGGAGGCTCACTGGCCAGTGTGCAACAGACTTATCTTAGACCCCAGTCTCAAGTGACATAAAGTATCGTCAAAACTCACCTTAAATTAAATTTTGGATAATTGTTCATAAGTGAATTTACTCGGAAGATTTCAGAACTACCTGCCTTCAAATTAATCAGGACACAGGACTGAATATTAGGAATATTAGGAACTGCCTTGATGAATAAAAGAGAGTCAACTATCAGCTTGCCACAAATTAATCTATTTCTCGCATCAAGACCCCAAGTCTTTCCCCAGGTATTCACCTGCAACTTTGAGCAAAAAGCTTGTTTCCCCAATGTAGTACCCCTCTTGGAAACGGCACCAGTATTGCCCATTATCAGATGGCTGGACGTTGTCAATCTTCAGGGCCACCCGCCCCTCAGCGATATCGTCCTGTATGCACCTGACCCGGCCTCTGTACTCCTCCAGCTGCATCTCTGTCACCTCAGCTCCGTCCTGCAGCGCGAGCACCTGTGTGCTGGGCTCCGAGCGATACCAAGTCACCTCCATGGGCTTCGCCGTCCTCTTGGGGAGGAGCCAGCAGGGTAGTATGGCGTCTTCCCCCAGTCTGGCCACGGTGGGATGGGCAGGACCAATCACTTTAAATTCATCTACAAAACAGCGTGGACAGATGTAGCACAGTGTCAGGGAATGCCGACAGAGGACTGAAGCGCCTGCTTTCTATGT